GACCACCCGAAGCAGGCGTGCCCCAAGGCCACTACCACGGAGCAGCGGTGACCCGCCGGAGGCGCCCTCGATAGATTGTATCCGCGCGGTGACGGACGTGCTCGTCCTGGCACCCAGGCGCCGACTCCTCCTGCATCTGGGCAACCCATGACACGTCCCGGTCCATCGCGGCCGCCGCCGGGCGGGGCGGGGCACAGACACAGGGGACACGGGCCGCGCTTCCTGGCGCGTGGCACACCCGCCATTCGAGGCACGACGGCTTCAGGCGTGCCGCTGCAGGTCGACGTTTTCCCACTCGGCGTTTCGACGTTGGGCGGCAGGAAGGGAAAGGGTCTGGCTCTGGACCCGCGTTGAGTGCGACTGTTCGGAACCGCGCGTATATGGGGGAGAGACCCCACCTGCTTGAAATTGGCGCCAAAAACAGCCAAGATCTACTCAAGGGAGGGGGGACGGGGGGTGCGAGGGCCCGCGCCGATCGGCAAAACAAGGAATAAGAATACGATCACCAGACCCGCGCGTTCTGGCTCTCTCGCGTCTCCCACGGTCCATAGGGGAAGGAGGGAGGAGAGGGGAAGGAGAGGGGAGCAGGGAAAAGAGAAAAGGGACAGCTGGACAAGGCTCGAGTTCAACAGTCTTTTTCATTTTCGTGTTGTGTTCGTTTTCCTTCGTTATGTTTTCGTCCTGCCTTTGCTGCGAAACGAAACGCTCCACAAAATCGACAAAAACACCGTTTAGCTCTAGCCCTGCTGCTGGGTGGATGAAGCCTGCCTAAGCTCAGCCGTGCCCCAGCGCGGACAAACGCGCGGGTGGCCCATTTCCTCTCCCTCGGAGTGCCCTCTCCTCGCAATGACCTTGCGCGGTGACCAAAGCCGTGTTGCGCTGTCGCTGTCCATCGTCACTGCTGCATGTCCAGCGCCCCCCTGCATCGCCAAAACCCAATTATGTATCAGGTATCCCCACCGTTCCTAGTCACTCTCCTCGCCGTTTCAGGGCGCCCCGGCCTTGGACAGCCTCCTTCCTCTTTGTCGTCGTCCGTTCCCTCGTTGCGAATAAAATTCCACCGTTGCCCCCTCCTCCTCCTCTTGCTCCGCCTCCCCCTTTTCCTCGTTCCCCCATCCCTCTACACTTACACAATATGAAAATACTCTCCCACTTCCCCTGATGGCGTCCCGAAGATGGCCGACCCCCCACCGCGTACTGTTTTTTTAACACAGGATTCCCAGGAAACGGGTTTTCGCCTGCGTCCTTTTTCCAATTTCTGTTCTCGCTGAGGCGCCTGCCTCATTTTTGCTCCCGAATCGTTCCGAATCGTGCTCCCGCTGCAGCGTGGGCCTCATTTTCGGATCGGTGTTTGGCCTCCGTCGTTCAGGATGGCGTTCTCGCCCCAGCGCGGGCCTCTTTCTCGCGCGCCACCAAATAACCGCCCGCCACCACCGCGCCGCACCACCACCACCACCACCACCACCACCACCACCACCACCACCATCACAAACCACCACCACCACCACCACCACCAACCACCACCACCACCACCACCACCACCACCACCACCACCACGACAACCACGCACACACGCACGCACGCACGCACGTGCACCACCACCCACTACGCACGCGCGCGCGGAGCCACAGGTCCGCTACGACACGCGTCCGCGCATAGAGAAAATCAGCGCCATGGTAAGGGATGGGAGGGAGGGGTAGGACGTCAGATATGACGCGAGCGCACCTAGCTTGCCCACTCCCCCTCCTCTTCTTCCTCTTCCTTCTCCTCCTCCGCCTCCTGCTCCTGCTCCTGCTGCTCCTCCTCCTCCTCCTCCTCCTCATCCTCCTCCTCCTCCTCTTCCTCCTCCTGCTCTTCCTCCTCCTCCGCCTCAACCTCCACCGGCGGTAAAGCGTCAACCTTGTTTTTTTTGCTTTGCGCAAAGCCACAGGCCTGAGTCCAGGCCCGCTCGGGTCACAGCCACGCGCGAGGGGGGGGCAGCGAGGCTTCCAGCACCGCCACGACACCCTGAAGCAGGTACTTTGCAGCAAAATCCGCCGACCCCTTGTGGGTCCCTTGGCGTGTGAGATTGTTCCCCCCCCACACACACGCCCCCCCTGGGACCCCAAACCGGCAATATGACCCCCCCCTCGTCGGATCCGACCCACCCCCGAACTCACCAGAGAGAGGCGGTCCGGGACCCGCAGGCCCCGAGTGGAGCTCCAAGACAATTCGGCAAGCCTCCCAAGACACCCCCATGTCGCCGAATGATCGATCCAAGACGCCCAAGAACCCGCGAAGACTCCCCAAGAGGCTTCCACGAAGCTTCCCAAGAAGCCCCCAAGAAGCCGAAATCGTCAAATTCCTTTGGGGATCGTAGATTTTTCACATACACGCGTTTCGGCCTTCGCGGCGTGGGCGAACACCCGTGAGGCACCCAAAACCGCTCCAAGACGGCCCAAAAGTTCCCCGAGATTCCCTCAATACGGCTCAAGACAGCTCCAAGACGGCCCCAACGGCGCCCAAGAGCGCACTCAAGCGCCCCAAGACGGGCTCAAGAAAGGCCAGAAGTGACTCCCAGGAAGCCCAAAGGCCTCCAAAAGGCACACAAAAGGCCCCAAAGGTCTCCAAGAGGCTGAAAAAAAGACTACGGACATTCCCGATACCTCACACTCACAACCCAGGCACGGCGGCGGGATGGGCCGAAGGCTGCGAGACACTGTCACGGAGCTCGACCGCACCGACAATGTTATACCCGGCAATTCGACTCACCGCCTGTATACCGCCTGCATAAGATTTCCCCCCCCTTGGCCTCCACGCCGAAACATCGACAAACTCCCTTCCTTTGCAGCACCCCCTCCTCTTCCTGTTCCTCCTGACGGCACCGCGCACTCGCACGGCGCCACAAGCGCTGCCACGGGTCTCACGCGCAGGCTTTGCAACTCAGCGTGCTATTTCGGCGGGCACGCGCGAGGCGCGGTCCATCCGCGAACTGAAATTTCGGGAGCTTCCCCTTGCAAGAGCCGAAGCACTCGTACGCTTGCGAATTCCGAGCCGTGAAGCTGACGACAATGTACTCCGCGCATACAACTTTACCCTTCCTCGTGAAGTGATCACTCTCTTGCCTGTCGCTGATGCGCTGCTGCCGAGCGAACTGCTTCGTTCCCGCTGCACACGTCAGCAGCCTCTTCGACCGCTTCGCCGTGTTGGCAACTCCCTTCGCGCTGACGTCATTATGGTGACAGTGCGCGCACACCACCCTTTCTTTTTTGTCGTCGCCTGGTGGTTTCACATGACTCCTAGTTAAAAGGCCGACCACCCAGAAAGACACCCCGCAACTGGGCGCACAGCACGTCAGCGGCTCCGCATCCGCCTCTGCTATCCGTGTTCGATTCTCTGCTTCGTAATTCCTCCGCAGCACCGCCTTCCCTCGACCCTCCGCGCACTCCCGACACAACCTCTGCCCCGCTGTGTTGCGCGTTCTCCTGAGCTTCCGACATCTCCGCCTGTTCGTCGTACAGCGACGGGCATGTATCGTTCGAACATCGCACAGCGCCCACGCTCTCGTTCCATTTCGCGCTGCCGCTTCTCGACTTCTGCTGGGCTTTGACATGGCTGCACGTCGCGCAGCACATTGTCCGAATCCATTCGTCTCGCCGTCGTCGACCGCGCCGTCCGCGCTCCGACCGCTATCATTTCGAGCCGCCTCGTCACCCCCCGCTCTCGTTGCCCACCCCGTGCACGTTGGGCACAATTTTTCGCTGGCGCTGTTTCATCTCGTCCGTGCACTCCTTGCAGAACGCCGGCCTATCCTGCCCCACTTCGTGAACGCCTCTACAAGCAACCTCCGCCCGCAGCGCTCGCACTTCATTGTCAATTATCATGGCATCCAAGCGCCCCCGCGTGCCGAAAGGCGCGCGGGATAACTGGCCGCCCCCCCCGCCCCCCCCCCCCTGGCGCTGAAAATCGCATGAGAGGACCGGGGCGCGGGAGCCGACAAGCTCCCCAGCGCTTCTTCCGGAACCAGACCGCCCCAGGACGGGCCCATTAGAACTCGAAAGCAGTACAAGACCGTCGAGGTGGCCCCTGGGCGGTCCGACGTGGCCCCCCAGGCGACTAGGACAGCCCGAGAAAGGCAAAACTCGTACGCTTCTTCAGGGAAACGTGCAGTTTTAGCAAACTCGATTCTCTCATCTTCCCAGAGTTCACAACGGCTTGAGGGCCCCACAGGAATGCCCCAAGACGGCCCCGAAGACCCCCCAAACCAACCCAAGACAGCCCAACAGGGCCCCAGGACTGCCCACGAGGGCCCTCCGAACGGCCCACGAGGACCCAAAAAAGGGCCCAAGAGGTTGCTCAACGACTTCACAGTGGTAGCCTGTCCCGCCAAAATGTCCCCATGACCTGCCCAAGGGCCTCCAAGGCGCCCCCGCGAGGCCCCACGAAATCTCCGACGGGCCTCCAGGAAGCCCCCCAGAAGCGCCAAGATGCCCTCACAAAATCCTTTCATCGTGCAGTGCTCTCTGTCTCTTGCACGGGTCGGCGGAATGGCGCAAGCCACATGACTCTCGGCTTGAGCGATCGCACAGGCAGGCGCCAGAGAAAAGGTTTCAGAGACGGCACCACACCACCAGTAGGAGGCAGGTGGGCTAACTGAAAGGCATTGGAGGTGAGGAGGAGGAGTAAGTTGCACAACAAATCAAGAACCAAGCCTCCGCCAGAGCCTTCGGCACTGCGGCCACCGTCAAAGTAACCGCGGATTCCTCTGATGGTCTCACTTGCCGTAGTATAGATACGCGGGTCCAATGCGTAGTGACTCTGGCCCCTGCGGGCCAGCCATGTCTGATTATCAGCTCGCGAGTTACCTTCACGGTACAACCATTGGACAAGATCACACCCATGGGATGGGGCTCTCAACTGCACAGGTATGGACATTGCAAATTCACACAATACGTTCTGAATTGCAGCATTGCAGCAATCGTCGTCGCAGACACGTCCGTCGAACACTGAAATAGACCGTTGATCCAGTTACACACCACCAGTGAGTCCCCGAGGAACTCCAGAGGCATCCCAGGGGAAACGTGATTCCAAGAGGTCAGATGGTCGTCGTTGTACTGAAGTCACCTTGATATCCTCTCCACCTCCGCCTCCTTGCTACGTTTCCTGACCTTCTCCGTCACATCCTCCTCCTCCTCGCTCTCAGACTCTATGGGATCCTTCAAGACAAAATACTCCAGGATCTGAATCAGCTCCCAGACACCCAACACCGCCCTCGCAAAGTGCTTCCATGCATACTCACCCCACCGCAAGTTACAACACCAGTACGCCCCTGCCACCACTTCAAACGGCAGGGTCCACGGCCTGAACCCCACCGCCGATCCTCCCTCACGACGCCTAGCGAGAGCTCTGGCACCTTTAGTCGGCAGCGCACGGACGAACGCATCCATTTCATCCGTCCAGGGCGAAGCCGCATGCAACATAGTAAGCCGCGCCTGGGTGCGTGGGTGATTGCACTCAGGTCCCAGGTCCCTGCGTACACGCTGGCGTTTGTAGCCACGATTGTGTGGAATATCCTGCAGGGGTCTATTGGGGTCCTCAGGGGTCACCGTCATCGGTTGGACCACGTTGTCGATTCTGAGCCCGCTCTGGCATCTGTCAGATCAGCTGTCCTTTGTTTAAGCCTGAAGCAGGTGTCGACTGAGACCCACACCCAGGCACCTCCGAATTCGCACACACAGAGACCGTAGCCTGCAACCATTGGGATTTCTCCACCGGCGCCGTGGTAGTCTGCGACACGACTTGAGAACACAGCTGCCGTCGCTCAGGCACCCTTGGCCCAGGACCGCTGGCGAAACAGAAACAGTTGTGGCAAGGACGGCATGCCCGCAATCTTCAGTGCAGCACGCCACTGACGATACACTCGATGCACGAAGGCGGCCCAGTCCTCCTCAGGACCCTTGCGTTTCCACATCATCTTAGCTAGCAGCTTCCCCTCAAATGTGTGCAAGGCCCCCAAGCTACTCGCATCCGCAATCAGACCCTCAACACCGAAGAGGATCTTACTTCACACTCTGCAGTCGCACCGTCGCAATCGTCGGATAATATGCATATCGCGGTAGCAAGAGTATCGTTTATCAAACCAGAAGGCTCGTTGCCAGCAAACTATCCGAGACTCCACATCAACATGTGTCTTCATCTCACAGTCAATGACCACCCCCAATATAAGAATGTTTGGAACCTGCTGCACTGAAACAGTAGTAGAGCACACCCCGTTGACCCGTCGGCGCTTCACCTGATCCGATAGTGCACCGGCAGGCACCCTGAACGCCACCTCCAGAAGGGTCAACATCGGCATCTGAAACCCAGCACGAATGTAATGCAACGAGCTCAGCTTCCAAAAGTCACCCTCGAAAACAGCGCAACAGACATGTCGTGAATCATGGCGCGTCGCCTTTCAACACTCGGGGAGCCGAGGGGGCGCTGTCCGCCCAAAACGCGCGGGAGAACGTCCTGCGCCCCGTCTCCGCAGTCAGTGGAACACCGACTCCCTGGCGGCACCAAGACTGACACAAGTCGCCAAACAGAACAATAGATTTACACATCCAGCCTAAAGGGGCCCCAACACTACCAGCACGAACACATCTGTCCCAGGATACACCACACACCTCAACATCTTGAACTTTGAAATCCACCTTGCAAGTTGCCTGCGCCTCCAGCACGGCGCAAGCAAGATCTGGTGGAAAGCCCAGCCGATCCATGGAATTCGACTGATTAGCCACAGTCACATGATCAAAAGCGCGCAAGACATCAAGCGAAGCAAAACAGGTGCAGCGAGACTTACCCCACACGATACTCCGCTGAGCCGCCCTCTCCACGCTGGAGATGACCCGGTGGACCTTGCGTTCACCAGAAAATCCGAAGAGCATGCAACCAACGGCAGCTCGATCTCAAGTGCAGGGCCCCGAGGATAGTTGGTGGAGACATGCACCATGTAGATAAGCACCTCCACAAACTGAGGGCGCGCACCGCTGAGAAGTCGGACGCTCCTGCACGCTCGGGCACGGGGGAGATACAAGTGGAACGCCACACCTGTGGCGAACAAGACCTGCACAGAAACAGCTGCTGAAAATGATGGAGGGCAATACAGGGGGCGCCCCACGGTACACAACGCAGCATGGCAACACTGACCCCGTCCTTCCCCACCGCCTTCCCCATCTTCAACCATGAGTGGGCCCTCAGAAGGCCCCCCACGGTGATAGGGCAGTCTGGGCACTGTGGGGCACTGTCGAGCCGTCTCCTCCTTTCCTCCAACATCACTGCGGTGGCCTCCCTCTCCTCCTCACGATTGTAGCGACGCAGTCCGTGGCTTCGCAGCTCCTCCCCCCACCGTTCCACATCACACATATCCACACCCTCCAAGTGCAACGACGTGCTATGTGTCCTGGGTCGGGCCCCTGGTCGGAAGCGATGCTCAAGCGCTTCTGTGCAACCTTCTCCTTGTCTGCTCCCGTTGGCGGGCAGCTCCTCCACAGTGCACCCCCCTCCCTGAATATCCCCCAACTCGCACGTGAATCAATGCACTGCTGCCGCACTCTGGGCAGTGCACCCTGGAACCTGGGGGCGAGACAAGAACATAGTCGGTTGCTCCAAGTGTTTTGATAGTAATACTGCACCTACGGGCCTGAAATTTTTACTGGCAAACGCGGCAAAACCCACTACAGGTGCGAAAAATATGGTTTCTTAAAGTGAATGGTCAAATATCTTTCGAATCTATGAAAAACCGACCCCAGGTCACCACATTGTCTCTTAACGTCGGGTCTGCAAACTAGCTCCACCCCGCGCCGGAATTCCTCTAGCTCATCGATAACTGAGGGCCGGCGGTAAACCGTCAACCAGATTTTTGAGTTTGAGTCAGGGCGCGGACAGCTGTGACAGCTGAGCCCTAAGACTCCCAAACGGAGCACAGGGTAGCTAGAGAAGGCACCTCTTATCATCACACTGCCGAGCCACTGAGGCATAGGCATCGGAATAGGATGCTGGAACAAGGAAAAGGATGCAGCACAACATGTGAGAATGCAAAGGTGTTGGGACAGGTGAGAGAATGGTGTAAGAGCTGGTTGAAACGCTACCCAAAACGTGTTCCACGGCCATACAATGCCGTTTTGCTGCATTGATCAAAGCAACAGCCGATCAGCAGCATATCCTTCCACAGACCGCCCTCCAACGAAGAAACCGTGGAGGCCGACTAGTTCATGTTTACGTTGTATATCACAGGCGAAGCAAAGTGAAAGTTAAAGTCGGGAGCCTCCTAGAGCTCTTGTCTACACGACGCTGCTTGGAACACATAGGAGAAGCTTTCTTACGCGTGAGCTGAAAAGCTTTAAAAATTACGTTTTTCAGCTTTCACCGAAAGTCTGTTGATTCAAATGGGGATCCGATAGCACCTCTCAGATCACTCGTATAAAACGAACAGCTTCGCGGATCTAGCTCGAGCAACAGATCAAATTCAGACCTCTCGATGGAACAGACAAACGCGCCTGATGATTCTGAATCGATTTCTGCAAGCAGCAGCTCTGTACCTCTCCTAAATCTTGAGAAGTACAAAAAAAAAAAAAACGTCAACGCGTGTCAAGATGCTCGAAACGGCCGACGGTTCCCTCAAGTCTTTTGATAACAATATTGCAGCTACGGGCCTGGGAATTTCACTGGCAGACGCAGCACAACCCACTACAGGTGAGACGAGTACCGGTCCCCAAAACGAACTGCAAAGTTTTGCACAAAGATTGCCAAAGCGACCCAAAGTTATCATTGTCTCTTGAGGTCGGGTCGGCCAACTAGCTCCACCCTGCGCCCGAATTCCTCTTAGCTCATCTTGCCGAAGAGCTCTACGAGGTATGAATAGAGCTTCTGAAGAGAGAGCTGACAAACTCGAACAATCACGACTTTTCGGTTTCGATCCAAAGTCGGTTCCTCCAATTGTTTTGATAGTAACACTGCCCCTAGAGCGATAAAAAATTAACCAGCAGGTGCGCCATAGCTCAATACAGGGAATAAAAATCTCACTTCTGAAAACGAACTTCAAATTTTTGCTTAATAATTGAAAAAACCGGCCCCAGGTTACCAGATCCTCTCTTTTAGTTCGGCTGGCCAACTAGCTCCACCCTGCGCCCGAAATCATCTTAGCTCTTGCCGAAGAGCTCTACGAGCACGAAGAGCTCTACTGGCAGTAATATCAACTCGATCGATCTGATATACGGCGAGCGGAAATTCGTAGTGTTCAAAACCCAGAGCAGAGAGACCCTCGGAACCTCTTGTTGTCCAAAACTCGGACAGCCAAGCGAGAGATGCGCGCGCACGCGTCTCGTCGCCCAAGCGACACCCCGGGCCCTGCCTCTGGTGCCGCGCGTGCCCTGCGCTCGCCTCAGACTACTCCGCACGCGGTGCGCATGTAGTGCAGCCAGATGCGGGTACTGGGCGCCGGCGGTAAACCGTCAACCATTCTTACCGCTGGGGGACTCGTAGAGCTTCCTCACAATATATAATGTCGGAAGAAAATTGCAGAGAACGAATAGTTTTTCAGCCCAAGCGATTTCAGACCTCTCGATGCAAGAGCCAAACGCCCCCGATGCTTCTGGATTGTCTTCTGTACGAGCTCTGTACCTCTCCTGCAGCCCGAGTTCCGTGCGTAAATCCACAGCACCTTTCAAGATGACTCGAACAATACGAATAGTTTGCCGAACCTAGATCGAGTATCAGACCGAGTTCAGACCTCTGAATGCGACAGGCGGACGCGTATGATGTCTTCGAATCGATTCCTGTGATTACCAGCCCTGCAGCCTGCCTACAGCCCGAGTCGAGTGCAGAAAACCGACAGAGGCTCTCAGGATGACTCGAACAATACGAATAGTTTCGCGGACCTAGTTCGGGCAGCAGACCGAGTTCCGAGCTCTGGATTCGACAGGCGGACGCGCCTGATGTCTCCAAATCGATTCCTGTGACCACCAGCACCGTAGCCCCCCTACAGCCCGAGTTAAGTACAGAAAACCGACAGCACCTTTCAAGATGACTCGAACAATACAAATAGTATCGTGACTCTAGATCAGGCAGCAGACCGAGTTCAGAGCTCTAGATTCAACAGACAAACGCGACTGGTGATTCTAAATCGGTTTCTGTAAGCATCAGCTCTGTAGCTGTCGTATACCTCGAGTTAAGTACACAAAACCAAGAGCACCTGTCAAGACGACTCGAATAATACGAATAGGTGTGCGAACCTAGCTCGGCTAGCAGACCGAGTTCAGACCTCTGCATGCAACAGACAAACGCGCCTGATCCTTCTGAATCGATGAGGTGTGCGTACCAGCTCTGTAGCTGTCCTGTATCTCCAGTTAAGTCCAATATACCGACAGCGCGTATCAAGATGACTCGAAAGGGCCCATCCCGCCTGGACGCTTTTTGGCAGTGAAAGGTACCCGATCGAGCTGAGATCAAGATGGCGAGCGGGAATAAGATCGAATATCACGGAAAAAATATTAGAGCTCAAACGAATTGAGGAATTTCGAGAACAAAATTTTCAACCGACCAAAAGTCAGCAAAAGGTCCGTCGAGATTTTTCTTGCCAACTAGCTCTCCAGCGCCCCGGAACTGGCGCCGGCGGTGAACCGTCAACCTGGTCACCGCCGGGAACCTCGTAGAGCTCCTTCCACGCGTAAAGTGCTCAGAGTCGAAAGAGAGAGCTTCTTGAGGCATTTCTCGAAAAGTTGAACATTCATTTTTTCCATGTCGACGTGAAGTTGGTTCCGCCAAGTGTTTTGATAGTAAATTTCCGCCTACAGAGCTCATATTAAGACGCAGAGGCCCTCATAATCGTTTACAGGTGCGAAAAATCTGCTTTCTCAAGATAAAAGGTCAAATATCTCTCAGATCTTAAAAAAACCGACCAAAATTCTGCTTGGGTCGACCAACTGGGCGCCGGCGGTAAACCGTCAACCTTTCTTACCGCCGGGGGACTCGTAGAGCTTCCTGACCATATATTATGTCCAAAAAATTAGCAGAGAACGAATGGTTTTTCAGCCCAAGCGCTGATAGCAGACTTCCTGTGCGTGTAGAAAATACCGTCAGGAAGAAAGTTGCAGAGTACGAATTCTGCGCTCACGACGGACCCAAACCAAGCGTCCAGATGCTTCGCGCCTCATGATGTCCTTCTGATTTTTCGGCCGCTCCAGAACAGTGAAGAACTTCACGATCATGTGGAAAAAAATATCGCTCGAAAACGAATAGTTTTGTGAACCTGACTCAGATAGCAAACCGCAAACCTGATGTTTTTGGATCGGTTTCTGTACGTACCAGCTCTGTCGCCCCCCTACAGCCCAAGTTGAATACATAGAATGGACAACATCTGTCAAAATGACTCGAAGAATACAAAAAGTTTTGCGGACCTAGCCCGAGTAGCAGACCCAGCTCAGACCTCTGGAAAGAACAGACGAACGGGCCTGATGATTCGAAATCAGTTTCTTGCATATCAGCTCTGTAGCTCTCCTACAGCCTGGGTTACGTGCGAAAACCGAGAGCGGCTCTCAAGATGACCCAAACGATACGAATAGCTTCGCGGCCCTAGCCCGAGTAGCTGACCCAGTTCAGACCTCTGGATGCAACGAACGCACGCGCCGGATTATTCTGCATAGGTTTCTGTGTGCATCAGCTCTGTAGCTTCGCTAGAGCTGGAGTTAAGTACAGAAAACTGACAGTTTCTTGGAGATGAGTCGAGCAATACGATTAGTTTTGCGCATCTAGCTCAAGTAACAGACCGAGTTCAGACATCTACATGCGACAGGTGGACGCGCCTGATGCCTCAGAATCCGTTTCTATAATTACCAGCCCTGTAGCCGCCCTATAGCCCGAGTTCAATACAGAAAACCAACAGCAACTCTGATGACTCCAACGATACGAATAGGTTCGCAGACCTAGCTCGAGCAGCAGACCGAGTTCAGAGCTCTGGATTCGACAGACAAACGCGCCTGATAATTATGAATCAGTTTCCATAAGTATCAGCTCTGTAGCTCTCCTATAGCTCGAGTTATGTCCAGAAAACCGTCACCGCGTGTCAAGATGACCCGAAACGGCCGATCCCGCCGCAACGCTTTTTGGCAGAATATGTACCCGATCGAGCTGAGATTGAGATGGCGAGCGGGAATAAGATC